GCCAGGGCTAAAAAAAAACTCTGTGCCCTGGCTGGGACAGGATGGGGCCTCGGTTTGGCATGGCGGAGCGTAGATTCCCCTGCAGAATGCTTGTTTGGTTGTGTTTGGCACAGGCCGTCCAGGACTGGGTCTTTATCAGTTCTGTGAATGTCAGTGAATTGATTGAGTGTGCAATGTTGGAGGCTTCCTTCCTGTTTTGATGAAGACATTGACATTCCACCGATACTAATTGAAATCAAATATCAAATCAGGAGATGAGACCACACGCAAAGACGTGCAGCAGGCTATGTTCTAGTGCTATTTCAACAAGTTTTCTCTTTCTGATCCAATGCTCTATGCAGTGCACTCCTGAACTAGCAGTTTCATATGTCAAATCAGAAATAATGGGTGGTAGTTCAGTGTATTTCCTGCCAACTATAGACTGGCTTTCCTAACCATGAGATTGGCATTTGTCCATAGAGCTATTTGTCTATTCTTGATAGGCAAATTGTTGTGTGACATGTTACACATGATCCACTGATATACAGTACATGGTGTTTCATCTTTGGACCTTTCCTTCTTGCCTGGCAGGTGTTGGAATCAGGTAAACCCATCATTTCAAATAAAAGTGCAGAGAAGTGAAGCAGATTTACAGACTGTACAAGAAAAAAAGGGTCCCATTGTCCACGTCCTATGTGAGGTAATGATAATAAATGACAGGCTCTCCTCTCTCTCTTTGACGTCTCTCCCTCTCTCACCTGGCTGACGTGTTTTGCCATACTGCGATCTCCTGTGTCTCCGGGCCCTCAGTCAAAGCTCTGTCAATCAGATAAGCACTGACCTAGCAGGCCTCATAGATAAGACACTACACAGCAAGAGGAAACGGCAGACAGTGGGGACACCAGGCCAACTAGAAAGGCTCAGTGAAGCGAGGCTGATCACAACGGCTCTTCAACCACATAGGGCTGCCAAGAATGAAGTATCGCTTGTCCTCTTCTTGCCATCTCCCAATTTAAACTGACTGTATCAAATCTGGATCTGGTGGATACTCGTCTCTCTTTAAGCATCTGCCTTCAAAATCCCTCCCATTTTCAGGGTACAGAACACAGTTTAAACCGGTATCTCTTCTTTTATGTGATGACATTTGAGTGTGCCTCTGCAATTCAGTACAATTCAGCTGTAAACGTAAAATGTTAGTATAAATCATGTAATTATTCCCAAAATAGATTGAATTAGGCATACATTTTTTGATCTTCCACCAAAAATACGTTACATTCGAGTAGACAGGCTTACTCTAACCATAATGCCAATGGGGTGCAAAAGACACTGAATGCATATTTCCATTGGTGAATGAGTGCTAGTGTGCGACATTGAGAAATTACAAAAGGGTGAGACAAGGATGTACTTTTGTTTAAGTCAACATTTGGGTGGTCCACAGATAGAAATGCACTGGGGGGTGGGGGGATTTCCCTACGAATTCTAAATAAACATTGAAGAGAGCCCAGAGCACTTTCCATCGATGAAGGAGTGACTCAAAAGTAAAAAATAAATAAATAAAGATATACATTATAGATGCTACTTCTCTGAAACGTCTCACAGCAAATTTATGCTCAACGCGATCATACAATATAATTCACGACACACTGGTAAACACACTGGTAAATATGCCACACACGACATGAAAGACAATATGGGGTTGTGATCTCTAAACATTCACCTAAGCGAAAATGGATTAAATACTAAAGGACATAATTGTCAAAGTTTCATAATTCTGCAATTCTGCAACAAGCAGAAGAAACATCATATTTTCTAAATATAGCACCCAGTGTAGCCTACACTTGTGGATGTGTAGCCTATGTTTTATAACAATAGTGGTGATGTAAAAACCAATTTATATGGACAATTTCTACTTTGAATGTTTCCGTCTAACAATATTGATTTGTATGCTTCCAGTGCCATCTACTGACAAGAGACAGGTAGCACAGAGCCTACCATCCAAGGCTATTGGCCGCCACAGTGGACACGTCATAATACACATAAAAACACAGAAATTGTTCCAATGGATCTTCCGACATTCCTTTTTCACATTGTGAATTTTACAAAAAAATCTAATTAATTGTGTGTTTGATGTAGGCTTACCTTGGTGTGATGTTTTGATAGCCGTGTAATTCTCGCTTGGACAAAGTGAGTTTTATCAATATATTCGCCTAAATTTACAGTCTAAAATTCGCAATGATAATTATTGATAAAAGTTACCTTGTCTGAGAGAGATTTGGCAGTTATCAAAATGTCACGCCAGGGTAAGCCTACACGAAACACAGACCTTATATGAAGTAGTTCTAAAATTCAAGATGGAAAAATGAATGGTGGAAAAAGATTGGAACCATTTCTGGATTTTATGACTCATACTGTGGTACTCAATTCACAGGGAGATTCTCAATTGGGCCTGACAGCTTTTCCAGCTGGGACACTCACTGACGATCACCTTAATTGGCTGCACCTGATGTGATTATCAAGGCTTCCTGGCATCACAGACATGGTTGGTGCTGCCACCTGAGGGATGGAATGTGGAAGTGTATCCTGGTAGAGTGTGTTGCCTAACTGTGTGATAAGGCTAAACTACCCTATGACACGCAAATACATTTAAGACTATGTAGGGTTTTATTTGAATGCTACCACCCACCGGCATGGCATTGTTACCACCCACCAGCATGGCATGCCCATAAACGTGACACCTATAACACCGCAGTGTATTTGGCACAAAAGCTCTAACAGCATAACTCATATATCATAACGTTACTTTGTCAGGTAAAGACTAAATTAAAGCTCAAAAGAACAGACTCCCTTAACCAATTCCCTGACTCCTTCTGAAAATATGAAACTTTTCCAAGCCAAAATCTATTTTTAGCCTCCTTGAGAGACATACTAAGCCCTGTACTCCCTCCACTTCAAACTCACTATGGCCGGGGAGTCAGGACTGAGCTGGGCCAGAGAGGAAGAGGCAAAGCGAGAGGGTCGACTCCGCCCAAAATCTGTCTCTGCAGATTTGGGGCGCGTTCCACAGCTAAGGTGAGTCGATGCAACAACCAATGGTTGCGTGCCACATCATTGACCGTGTCATCGTCGTCGACTGACAAATTGCTATAACATATGATGTGGTTAGCTGATACTTAGCTCAGCTGGTAGAGCACGGCGCTTGTAACGCCAAGGTAGTGGGTTTGATCCCCGGGACCACCCACACACAAAAAAAAAATGTATGCACACATGACTGTAAGTTGCTTTGGATAAAAGCGTCTGCTAAATGGCATATTATTATATTATTATTTAAAGGAAAGGAAAGGGGGATACCTAGTCAGTTGCACAACTGAATGCATTCAACTGAAATGTGTCTTCCGCATTTCACCCAACCCCTATGAAATCAAAATACCTATCCAGGTGTTGTAAGATCTGTCAGGAGTCAGCAACGCTCATAGCGTTAAGCAGAGTTAGGAGTTTTTGTATGGGGGGCAGTGTCGAATTTGGTCAAGATAAAAGTGAATTCCTATTTTGATAGGTGAGGCTTATTTGATCAAATAAAAGTTTAAACATGAACATTAGGAACATTTGCACTTTCCATGATATAGACTGACCAGGTAAATCCAGGTGAATGCTATGATCCCTTATTGATGTCACTTGTTAAATCCACTTCAATCAGTGTAGATGAAGGGGAGGAGACAGATTAAAGAAGGATTTTTAAGCCTTGAGACAATTGAGACATGGATTGTGTATGTGAACCATTCAGAGGGTGAATGGGCAAGACAAAAGATTTAAGTGCCTTTGAACGGGTTTTGGTAGTAGGTGCTAGGTGCACCAGTTTGAGTGTGTCAAGAACTGCAACGTTGTTGGGTTTTTCACGCTCAACAGTTTCTTGTGTGTACCAATGGTCCACTACCCAAAGGACATCCAGCCAACTTGACACAACTGTGGGAAGCATTGGAGTCAACATGGGCCAGCATCCATGTGGAACGCTTTCAGTACCTTGTAGAGTTCATGCCCTGACGAATTGAGGCTATCCTGAGGGCGGGGGAACTCAATATTAGGAAGGTGTATATAGGAATTACGTTGAAATAGATTCAGCCACAGGAGAGGTGAAGGTCGAGAGCCATGTGTCCTCCGAAACACAACCCTGCCAAGCTGCACTGCTCATTTAACCCGGAAGCCAGCCACACCAATGTGTCAGAGGAAACACCATACATCTGGTGACCAAAGTTAGCTTGCAGGCGCCTGGCGCACCACAAGGAGTCGCTAGAGCACGATGAGACAAGGAAATCCCGGCCACCCAAACCTTCCCCTAACAACACTGGGCCAATTGTGCGCTGCCTCATGGGTCTCCCAGTCACGGCCGGCTGTGACACAGCCTGGGATCAAACCCGGGTCTGTAGTGATGCCTCAAGCACTGCGATGCAGTGCCTTAGACCACTGCGCCACTCGAGATGCCTCCAGTGGAGTTTTTACATGTTGTGTTTGTCTTAAACATGAGCTTGTTAAAAAGAGCTGGTTAAAAAAGGAGGATCATGTTTCGCCAATCACAGGTGCAGTATAAGTTTAGAAACGCTGTACAATAGTGTACTGTCTATGTTAATGCCAGGGCTGAATTTTTGTCCCAGTCTGCCCCTGGACTTAATTAAGCACTTGGAGTAATGAGTAGGAAACTGTGTTTTCACAAGCAAAAAACGCTTTATTTGCCTTCCCAATAAATACTAGATTAAATATTAAACCATGGCTATAATTTGTTGAAAAGAGAGGTATGTTTCTGGACGGTGCACCATGCTGCCTGGTTATGTCAGAGCGTCGCAGATTATTGGTCGATTTTAGAAGGGCGCCCCTCCCTCTCCGCTTTTGCACTTTCACGTCACGGGCCATAGATCGGTGCCCCGCGGCTCAGCATAATGGAAGCCACCCAGTGGTAAACTGCCTGAGTGGGACATCTTCATTAATCCACCATCTTTGATGCTCTTCCACCCGGAAATAAGCAGAATTTTCAAAGATGGCGGAGCAAGGGCCAATGGCGATAGCTATGCGGCTAAGAAATCAACTCCAGACCGTATATAAGCTCGACCCTTTACGAAATGAGGTAGGTGCCAATTAATTTCGGACTCCATAGACTCGACAAGACCAGTAAGAATTGTTTGAGTTAATTAGAGCTGGATATAGCTACATAACTATGACGAGGAAAAGCAGCAACGCGAGCGCTTCCTCCTGTCCCCAAAGTGATGGAGCAAGAGCTGCCTACGTGTGCGCAGGCGTGTGTGGAAGAGTCTACCCGTGTTTTCTGTGCAGCTACTGCAAGGTCCTTCGTGCAAATGGATAAATTAACCCCCCCCCTACATGATTAGTTAAAATACGAATTTGCGTTTTGCCTTAATGAATATTAGTTTATAGGTAGCTAGTAGCTAGCTAATTGTGTTTGCTAGGCTAGCTAGCTTCTGGTGACGGACTTGTCGAAGCTGGCTTGTAAAGTGACTAATATTTCTCTTACCTGTGTCCTTTATTTGCAATTTCATGTGTAGCGTACTGGGTTGCTAGCTATAACTTACAAATAAAGATGTATAGATTCTACACTGTTATTCTTGACATTGTGTTCGCTAACGTTAGCATAATAGCTACTCGTCTACAATGTTGCAGCCACCTGACACACCAACCTGCTAAAAAAAATCTAATTGTATTGGTCGCATACACATATTTTGCAGATGTAGCGAAGCTCCAACAGTGCAGTAAGACCTAACAATGCGAAACAAAACAAACAAATCTCCAAAATAATAATAAAGTAAGAAATATCAACCTAGTGGAAAAGAGCAATCGACATTAATGTTTTCGAATGAACTCATCAGTCTGTCTACTCTAGAATGTAATAATTCTAGCATGTTTTTTTGTATACATGTTTTTACATTGCTGCTGCTTGGAAAAAAAGTTAGAAACTGCAGGGATACTTTCTACTCGAGATTTCAATAGCAACTTATTATTGTTGAAGGAGGAAGTCAAGTTGAAGATCAAAGACCTGAATGAACACATAGTGTGCTATCTCTGTGCTGGGTACTTCATCGATGCCACAACTATTACCGAGTGTCTGCATACATGTAAGTGGGCCCAGCCTGTTTTTTCAATGTTTTGGCTTATGAAGTTCCCCCTCTGGGAAATGGGCAAACTGTTATAGACTTGTATCCTAGCCAATGATTTATATAAACCCTGGATTGCTGATGCCATATTGGCACTCCTCAGAAGAAGCAGTCCTCCATAGGAATGAATGGAATTCTACAGTATTTAAATTAAATGTTTCAAGGACAAAATTACATTTATTTAAAGGGATACTTTGGGATTCTATCTACTTCCCCAGAGTCAGATGAACTCGTGGATACCATTTTGATGTCTCTGTGTCCAGTATGATGGAAGTTGGAGGTATTTTCGTGAGCCAATGCTAACTAGCCTCAGCCATTGCGCTATTGATACCCATAGACTTCCAGCCGTTAGCGCAACTACTTCTAACTTTCCTTCAGACTGGACACGGAGACATACAAATGTTTTCCACGAGTTCATCTGACTGGGGTAGTAGATAAACCCTGAACTATCCCTTTAAGTATTTGTTGTTGTAGTGGGGACAGTAACAGAACTTTACAAAAATTATACTTTAAGGAATATATATATAAATGTATATATATACTACCGTTCAAAAGTTTGGGGTCACTTAGAAATGTCCTTGTTTTAGAAAGAAAAGCAACTTTTTTTTGTCCATTAAAATAACATCAAATTGATCAGAAATACAGTGTAGACATTGTTAATGTTGTAAATGGCTTTTGTAGCTGGAAACGGCTGATTTTTAATGGAATATCTACATAGGCGTACAGAGGCCCATTGTCAGCAACCATCAGTCCTGTGTTCCAATGGCACATTGTGTTTGCTAATCCAAGTTTATCGATTACAGGATCAAAATGGCCAGAAACAAATAACTTTCTTCTGAAACTCGTCAGTCTATTCTTGTTCTGAGAAATGAAGGCTATTCCATGCGAGAAATTGCCAAGAAACTGAAGATCTCGTACAACGCTGTGTACTACTCCCTTCACAGAACAGCGCAAACTGTCTCTAACCAGAATAGAAAGAGGAGTGGGAGGCCCCGGTGCACAACTGAGCAAGAGGACAAATATATTAGTGTCTAGTTTGATAAACAGACGCCTCACAGTTCCTCAACTGGCAGCTTCATTAAATAGTACCCGCAAAACACCAGTCTCAACGTCAACAGTGAAGAGGCGATTCCGGGATGCTGACCTAGGCAGAGTTGCAAAGGAAAAGTCCAGTGTCTGTGTTGTTTTGCCCATCTTAATCTTTTCTTTTTATTGGCCAGTGTGAGATATGGCTTTTTCTTTGCAACTCTGTGTAGAAGGTCAGCATCCCGGAGTCGGCTCTTCACTGTTGACGTTGAGACTGGTGTTTTGCGGGTACTATTTAATGAAGCTGCCAGTTGAGGACCTGTGAGGTGTCTGTTTATCAAACTAGACACTCCAATGTATTTGTCTTCTTGCTCAGTTGTGCACCGGGCCTCCCACTCCTCTTTCTATTCTGGTTAGAGCCAGAATAGACTGACAAGTTTCAGAAGAAAGTTATTTGTTTCTGGCCATTTTGATCCTGTAATCAAACCCGAATTGCTGATGGGCCAGATACTCAACTAGTCTCAAGAAGGCCAGTTTTATTGCTTCTTTAATCAGTACAACAGTTTTCAGCTGTGCTAACATAATTGCAATAAGGTTTTCTAATGATCAATTAGCCTTTTAAAATGATAAACTTGGATTAGCAAACACAACGTGCCATTGGAACACAGGACTGATGGTTGCTGATAATGGGCCTCTGTACGCCTATGTAGATATTCCATAAAAAATCGGCTACAATAGCCATTTACATTAACATGTCTACACTGTATTTCTGATCAATTTGATGGTATTTTAATGGACAAAATTTGTTCTAAGTGACCCCAAACTTTTTACCGGTAGTGTGTGTGTGTATATATATATATATATATATATATATATATATATATTCATTATACTACCGGTCAAAAGTTTTAGAACACCTACTCATTCAAGGGTTTTTTCTTTATTTTTTTTACTATTTTCTACATTGTATAATAATAGTGAAGACATAAAAACTATGAAATAACACATATGGAATCATGTTGTAACCAAAAAAGTGTTAAACAAAACAAAATATATTTGAGATTCTTCAAATAGCCACCATTTGCCTTGATGACAGCTATGCATACTCTTGGCATTCTCTCAACCAGCTTCATGAGTTGGTCACTTGGAATGCATTTCAATTAACAGGTGTGCCTTGTTAAAAGTTTATTTGTGGAATTTCTTTCCTTAATGCATTTGTGCCAATCAGTTGTGTTGTGACAAGGAAGGGGGGTATACAGAAGATAGCCCTATTTGTTAAAAGACCAAGTCCATATTATGCAGCTCAACAGCTCAAATAAGCAAAGAGAAATTACAGGCCATCATTACTGTAAGACATGAAGGTCAGTCAATACAGAACATTGAGAACTGCAGTCGCAAAAACCATCAAGCGCTATGATGAAAATGGCTCTCATGAGGACCGCCACAGGAATGGAAGACCCAGAGTTACCTCTGCTGCAGAGGATAAGTTCATTAGAGTTACCAGCCTCAGAAATTGCAGCCCAAATAAATGCTTCACAGAGTTCAAGTAACAGACACATTTCAACATCAACTGTTCAGAGGAAACTGTATGAATCAGGCCTTCATGGTCGAATTGCTGCAAAGAAACCACTACTAAAGGACCAATAAGAAGAAGAAGAAGAGACTTTCTTCGGCCAAGAAACACGAGCAATGGACATTAGACCGGTGGAAATTTGTCCTTTGGTCTGGAGTCCAAATTGGAGATTTTTGGTTCCAACCGCCGTCTTTGTGAGACGCGGTGTGAGTGAACGGATGATCTCCGCATGTGTATTTCCCACCGTAAAGCATGGATGAGGAGGTGTTATGGTGTGGGGTTGCTTTGCTGGTGACACTGTCTGTGATTCATTTATGATTCAAGGCACACTTAACTAGCATGGCTACCTCAGCATTCTGCAGCGATACGCCATCCCATCTGGTTTGGGCTTAGTTGGACTATCATTTTGTTTTTCAACAGGACAATGACTTAACACAGCTCCAGGCTGTGTAAGGGCTATTTTACCAAGAAGGAGAGTGATGGTGTGCTGCATCAGATGACCTGGCCTCCACAATCCCCCGACCTCAACCAAATTGAGATGGTTTGGGATGAGTCGGACCGCACAGGGAATGAAAAGCAGCCAACAACTGCTCAGCATATGTGGGAACTCCTTCAAGACTGTTGGAAAAACATTCCAGGTGAAGCTGGTTGAGAGAATGCCAAGAGTGTGCATAGCTGTCATCAAGGCAAAGGGTGGCTATTTGAAGAATCTCAAATATAAAATATATTTTGATTTGTTTAACACTTCTTTGGTTACTTCATGATTCCATATGTGTTATTTCATATTTCTGATTTTTTCACTATTATTCTACAATGTAGAAAATAGTAAAAATAAAGAAAAACACTTGAATGAGTAGGTGTTCTAAAATGGTTGAGTGTATGTGTGTGTGTGTATGTGTTTATATATATATATATATATAAACACACACACACACACTCTCTACCGGTCAAAAGTTTTAGAACACCTACTCAAGTGTTTGTCTACGTTGTAGAATAATAGTGAAGACATCTGAACTATGAAATAACACATATGGATTCATGTAGTAACCAAAAAAGCGTTAAATCAAAATATATTTTATATTTGAGATTCTTCAAATAGCCACACTTTGCCTTGATGACAGCTTTGCACACTCTTGGTGGGGGAGTGCCAGATGGAGGTGCGGTGGCTTCATAACAGCGCCCCTGTCAGTCATCTAGTGTGTGTATATAATTGGTCCCTGCCTACTTATTACCTGTGAATGCATTTACATTTACAGTCATTTAGCAGACGCTCTTATCCAGAGCGAATGCATACAGTTGTATAGTACATTTTAATGTTATTATTAAATAACATCATTCATTTTCAATGACATTAATGGCTAATGTCTCTTCTGCTTCTATTTCAGTCTGTAAAAGTTGTATCGTGAAATACCTCCAAACCAGCAAGTATTGTCCAATGTGCAACATAAAGATCCACGAAACACAGCCTTTATTGAACCTGAAATTGGATAGAGTGATGCAAGACATTGTCTACAAACTGGTTCCAGGACTTCAAGAAAGTAAGTAGGCTAATAGTTGTTCTCATTTTGTTGCATAGTACTTTAGTAATGGTTTTGTTGTGACACAAGTCTAATAAAGAACAGTCACTATTTATCCTGTGTACTTAGAATAAAGCAGGTAGCTTAGTGGTTAAGAGCGTTGTGCCAGTAACCGAAAGGTCGCTGGTTCTAATCCCCGAGCCAACTAGGTGAAAAATCTGTCGATGTGCCCTTGAGCAAGGCACTTAACCCTAATTGCTCCTGTAAGTCGCTCTGGATAAGAGCGTCTGCTAAATGACGTAAAATGTAAAAAAAATTAAAAATAAAAGCTCTCGACTCCTAATTGTAACAGCGTTACTTAAACTGCAGGAGGAAGCAGCATTAAATTGTTAGCCATTTAGCGTGGGTTGATTTTTTTCATTGATAGTCCTTATTATGGGGTTCTTTGTAAACAGGTGAGGACAAGAGAATAAAAGAATTCTATCAGTCGCGTGGGCTTGAGAGAGTTGTCCAACCCTCTGGGGAAGGTAAGCCTTTACAGGGGAAAAAAAAATCTAATTTCAAGTTTGGTGTCATGATATGTTATTAGTTTTACATGGTATCTGTGTGTGTCACCCGTAGACTCCATACCAGATGCTACAGGATTACCTTTCACCACCTTTGACCATTCCAAGGCCCACTTTTACAGATACGATGAGCAGGTCTCGCTTTGTCTAGAGAGGCAAAGGTACGTTTTCGTGTCATGCCTTGACAAAACTACAGTAAGTACTGTCTATTCTCAGACCACTGGACTGTAAGCAAATTATATTTCAAGTGGTGGATTATCACTGATAGACTTAAAAGTGTGGAAGTTCAGTCTGTTGGTTCTATATCCCCAATCAGTGTTTCCTATAGCTGGTAATTTACATATTTTGTCCATGAAAAATACATTAAGCCAACAAATAAAAACATTGCTAACACAGAATATATGCTAAAGAAAAAGAAATATCATCTAAAAATCACATTTGCTCTGCATGGAAATTGGTTCAGGGTGTCAATCACATCTCTCTACTCTGCCTGTCTCCTTTTCCTGTCTGTATTGAGCTCACTCACTCACTCACTCACACAAACTTGCAACATTGTATCAACTGGTATTGGCCTGCAGAGGTTTCCCGCACCAGTGAGTCCATGACAGGGGGAGAAGTGTTCATGTATTTTATGACGTTTTGCTAGATTTATCTCCCTAAAAGAATTTACAGAAATGTAATAAGTTTAGGTATTTAAGTAAAGTAATCTTGCTTCCCTCTTCCTCTAATCTAATGTCTGGTCAAGTAGCCAGCATAAATGCTAAAATAGTGCAAATCAAGCTAGCTGGTTGGCTAATGTACCAAGGATGGAAGCACAAACAAATGGGGAAATAAAGTGCCACTTAAACCGAGCATATTGACAAGCATAGCTGCTGGAGTGGGGGTGCTGAGGGTGCTGCAGCACCCCTTGAAAAATCAGAATAAATCAAATAACAAGTTTATCGTATTAGCGGACCAATATAGCCATCTGTAGGGGGCAAATAATTTTATTCCGGGCCCCACCTCCAAATATCTTCCTGCGGCTATGTTGACAAGCCAGCGAGACCGGGGGAGACGTACAGTGCCAGTCAAAAGTTTGGACACACCTACAAGGGTTGTTCTTTATTTTTACTATTTTCTACGTTGTAGAATAATAGTGAAGACATCAAAACTATGAAATAACACATATGAAATCATGTAGTAACCAAAAAAGTGTTAAACAAATCAAAATATATTTGAGATTTGAGATTCTTCAAAGTAGCCACCCTTTGCCTTGATTACAGCTTTGCACACTCTTGGCATTTTTTTTGCAAGGAACCAATGTTCACTTTGTAGGCTATTATTTCTCCTCCTTGCATAGCTCAATAGTCATTGTCACTTCCATATCAGCAGTGGGCACTCCTACAAAATCCTTATCCTACACATGGGTTGGACTCAAATGGGTTTGTATTACATATAGTTGATAAATCTAATTTATTCAGCAAATAAAAAATCTGGCACAAATGGTTCTATGCTGTCCTCAATGAAGTCTGTTGAAAATGCCCCTTAAAATCCCTCTGTGTGTCATGCTTAATCATGTATTCTCTCGTCCCTGCAGTTTATCTCTGTCTGGAAAAAAAGATAAGACCAAACTGACTCTTCAGGTAAGTCAGGTGGGTAATCGATCTGCACCCTGCCACCAGAGGTCTCTGTTGGTTTAACTTGCAGTGGTCTGTTCTGTTTGGATTGAGAGGAAAAAACAAAGATGTCTCCATAAACAATGCTTCTGTTAAGTGTCAATTGCTTTTGCAATTGTTTAGTTTGAGTGCATTTGTCAGTCCCTACTAGAATTGCCCACAAATGTTTTGGTATTTGTTTATTTACATAATCATTTGGAATCATATGTGTGTTGAAGTGTGAAATTGGTAGTTGTAGTAATGTTGTGGAAATGTTGCTCTGCCTCGTCTCTGCAGCAGAAGTTTGTGCGCTGCTCGGTCCGAGCCGAGGTGAGACACCTGCGTAAAGTGCTGTGTCATCGACTGAATGTGGAGAAGCACCAGGTCAGTCTACCCTCTAGCAAGACTACATTTAAGCACATTTAAGAGGGCCATTTCAGCCCCGTGTGCACTTTTTGTAAACAGTCCAAAACGCAGGAACCACATCTTATGATTATAAAAAAAGTGTAGCCTATTAGATCACAATCTCTTGTTGTGCAACTTTTTTCAGTTCTCTTGAGTGCTTTGAATATTATACACACAACAAGTTTAGCACATTTGAGTCAGCATGTGAATGTTTGAGAATTGAGTGCCATTATACAGTTCACCAAGGACCAGTTGTTATGTTTTGTCCTCTATGTGTGGTCTCCATTGCTCCACAGGTCCAGATGTTGTTCAATAATGAGTCCCTTCCAGATCACATGACCATGAAACGGCTGTGGCTCTCTCACTGGTTTGGCAAGGTACTGTGCTCTCAAGTTGAGCCAACAATTTCATACTGAATTCCTTTACACTTGAACCGGCTTTTTCCATTTGGACAGTCATTTAGAAAAACCTACTGTGGTAGAAACAGCATTGTGTCAGATTTAAGAAAATAAATAATATTCCATATCAATATTCTGTAGTGACTTCAAATTATGCAATATCTATAGCAATTTTACTCTCAAACATGTTCTCTAGCACAAGAAGAAAGGAAGTTTGTTACTTAGCGAACTGTAGGCCCTATTCAATCAAGTAGTTAGTGTTTGTGGGATAAGACAACAAATGATCTCATGCAATAATGACAAACATACAAGAGTGCATATTTAAACTATCATGCTGACATTGATTCATTTCTCACTGTACACTTTCCTTAGTAAATCAAAATATGCTTAATCGCAATGCAAGAACGTTTTTTGACTTACCTCAAATCTTGTCATAGGGTTATAATTGATTTGGGAGTTTCTTCAGAATCGTGTTAGTTTGATTTAATGTTTGTGGAATCAATTTAGTTAATTAATTGGGTCTTTTTATTCCAGGCTCAACCGTTGGTCCTTCACTACACCATCAAGGACAAAAGGACAAGATAGAATTTTTCCCCTTTCTAATGACCTCAGCAGCTGTATATATTTTGTATAATATATATTATATTTTAATAGTGTGTGTACATTTGCCTTTTTTCCTCGTATTTTTTAAAATAAACATGGGAAAATAGTGTACAAATGTGCAGTGTTCTTTATGATCATTTCTGGAGATTTGCGCTGCACTTACAACAGAAGCTGTATTCAATTATGGGAAGCCATCAAGCCAACATGAAAATGGAATGAAAGAATGGAAGCAACCATTAATGAACCATGCAGTAATGTCTCAACTCAGTTTGAAAAGCTACAAATATTGGTAGTCATGTAAGATAAAACCTAACATAATAGCATTGATGCTTTAGCATTTGAGCTTAAGTAGTGAATATGATTAGTAATTGATTAGAGGAGCAGAAGTATGTACACCATGTTTTATAGTGCTTTATAGACCAGAAAATTAACTATATTAAAATTGTAATGTATAAGTTCATAACATAAGTTTAATTGAGTTCAGTGGGCCAAGTCTGGAATTATCAAATGGGAGTATTGTAAAGCTAATGCTGAAGAACTCTAAATTCTTGGAAATAATATTGTTCTTAGAAGCACTTATACCGTACTTCAAACAGTGGGGTACTTTGATGGCCTACCTGTACATACCTCTTGATGCGATTTTTTTTTTTAGCCCCCTTATGGTTTTTACTGATTATAAGTCACGCTGGATAAGAACAGCTAATAAATTACCAACATGTCTAAAAGCCATGCCAGCATTGGGCATCAGTGCTAACTCAGCTCATCTGAGTTAAATCAGTAATGCACTGTACTCGAAGCCATAACCAAATCTCTTTTTAGATAGTCTCTCTGACAGTCATTAAAACAAAAAGCTATTAGGCCTGATGTGCTTCCTTCATAGAGCGCAATCGTAATGGCGTCTTTTTGCATTTATCCCAAAACCCCATTTCCCTCATAGGAATGGCTGAACGAACCAGAGGTGTAACTCCTTTCCGGTTTTTAGGACAACAAGCTGGTGAGCTCTATTGCAAGTGATAACATCCCACTACACAACACTAGGTGGCAGACTTGATTCATTTATTACTTTTAGGTTGACCGACAATCCTTATGAGGGACATTATTAGTGGCGCTATGGTGCTGTTTGACTACAGAATAATATACAATAATTGTCCTGTTGCCATCTGTTTGTCTATCTAATATGACTCAGCAATCATACATGGAGATTTGTGCCATTGCGAGTCTCAATGTTATTCTCAGTCAAAATATGGTAAAAGACTCCAGTCACCCAAGTCATACTGTTCTCTCTGCTACCGCACGGCAAGCGGTACCAGAGTGCCAAGTCTAGGACCAAAAGGCTCCTTAACAGCTTCTACCCCCAAGCCATAAGACTGCAGAACAATTAATAAAATGGCCACCCGGACTATTTACATTGACCCCCCCCCTCCATTTGTTTTTACACTGCTGCTACCCGCTGTCTTATCTATGCATAGTCACTTTACCCCTACCTACATGTACAAATTACCTCGACTAACCTGTACCCCCGCACATTGACTCGGTAACGGTACCCCTGTATATAGCCTCTATTGTTCTTTTGTGTTAATTTCTTTATCATGTTATACTTTATTTGGTAAATACTTTCTTAACTCTTTCTTGAACTGCATTGTTGGTTAAGGGCTTGTAAGTAAGCATTTCACGGTAAGGTCTACACCTGTTGTATTCGTTGCATGTGACAAATAAAGTTTGATTTGATGCCCTGTGTTGACACCATATATTCCATGTAATCTTTTGTAGCACAGTATATTTGGGCTTTAAACCAACTGATGGGGATCTGGCACCATATCAAAGGGCATCTTTTCATGTAATAACTAAGACTGCATGTCAAGCAATGCATATCCATTAACACTGTATGCTAAAGAAATGACCAGTTATTTACTTAAAGTATGGTGAAATGGTAATGATACAATAATCTGTTACTTGTTTGTTTTTTGGATTCACTAAAACATGCACCATTTGGTACCACGTAGTTACCACTTGTCGAATTATTTTAAGTACTGTAAGTAAAAATACACATTGGTACCACAATCTCCAAGTAAATACTATAAAGCGCCACCTCAACCAATATCAACAGAAGTACATAACCTACTACATAAATTGTGCATCTGTGAATATATTCCTAACCATCAAGTGCAGTGGTGTTGGGGCCAATGTCATCATGTGCCATGGGATGGTAATCTCCTTTACTTGCATTAGATTTGTAGTCCTAAAAAAACTGTCTAAACCACCTCCCTTTAATTACTATTTTGGAGCACTCATTTGTCACTCTCCATGAGTGTTTATTTGCAAATCCTTGAAATTGTGCATGCCACAACCAGGTAAAACAGTTGTAAGCTTAAGTACTTTGTAACAATGTGTACCTCTACTGTAATTACTGTACCCGCCAATGTAACAACCATGTTAATACATATGGGCACAATGTAAAGTGCCCTTACTTAGAATCTACATTTTCAAGGGAGACTTGGCCAGTTGAGCACAAAATAGCCTGTTCCTCTATTATAATAATGGTAATAATAGCTTGATACAGACACACAGGTTTGATTAAATAAAATGATTAATTAAATATCACACTCATCTGAGCATTTGTAACAGAAGACTATGCCTCCAGAAACACTGCATAACCTTATACCATTTCGTATGAGAGAATATTACGTTACATAATTCCAAGCGGCCCGCTCGTGGTACCGATATTTCAGCAGACTTCTCGCAGACTGTGAACACTAATATTGAGTATGCAAAACGTCAAATGAAAGTCGTTGATTTAACGTGGTTAGACAAAGGTAATGTGATAACATGCTCTATAACATTCATAATATTCTAAACGAATAATTGGTTTTATTGGCCACACAAACTTATCACTTATGGATTTGTATTAAAGCCTAACATTTGGTGTTTATGTAGGCCGCAAAATAGTTTCCCCCTTCAAAATAAGAGTAAAAACATTTGAGGCAAGCAAGCCCCCTTCATCTGGTTACAAGTGTTACATATGGACCGAAAGATATTCAAGCAGACTGCAGTTAGAACAACAAGGATGCAGGGGAGAAAGACAACAACCCTCCTATTTCCACTGCCTCCTATTGAGATGTATTCATTAGGACGCCCATGCTAATCAATTGCTATTCATGGACGTTTTTCTAAATTGCTATTCAGAGGGGCAGATGCGTGCCATTATTGCTGCCGGCTCAGTGAAAACTTTGTACGGTGAGACGGGTTAACCTAATCAATCATGTTGACTAGTTTGTGTTAGACGATTCATAAACCATATGGCAGTGGAGTGGTCGCAACCTTTTTTAACGCAGCCCCGGGTCCTTACCATCTTGTGACAACTGTTAGGAAGCGAGTAAAAAGGAAGAACTTCTTTAACTGCCGCTAATTGAGCACTTTACTCACAACGAGCAGTAGACCTTCTGTCAACAGAAGGATATTCAGAGGTCCAAATCAGGTATACTAGGCCTAGCCAATACTTTGATGTTACCAGAAGGAAAACAATATTACGTTCTAGATAAATATTCATGATACTGTTGCCTTGTATTATCTCACAAATTGTAGGTTAAACCAATGCACATCGAGACACAGATGGACGTAATTGCAGAAAACATGAAATATCATACCCTTTATTTACATAATGTTGATTAAATAGAATGGTACAATAAAATTAGGCATATGATGTTTCGTTATTGAATTTATATACATAGCCTAACTTATGCATGTAAAAGTTTTGGCGATATGTCTGCAACTGGATGTTGATAATGGCTTTTTACATGACTGCTATTGGCATTTTTTAAAATCGTTTATGACATATAGCCAACATCAAGATCGGGATAAATATAACCTAGACCCCAATTTTAATGTAGCCCATTTTGTATTTTTCAATTATGAACAATTTGTAGGAAACGTGGGCCTGACCTTGGGCACATTCGAGTTTTTGGTAGATATGTCCTTTAGCAGCTGAATGTGGATGAATAGTTTAAAACAATTGCACAACCCCCCCCCCCCCCCCCCAAAAAAAAAAAACAACAACAACCATAGCGTTAAATGTACATACACATTTTGCAGTCATGATCCTGTACCAAAACACTAAGTATTTTTCATATCCTATTGAAAGAAATAATTTGGTGAAATTGGAACAGGGAAGGCTTTACAGTCCTATTAATAAATTAAAATGGAGAAGAGGAGAAAGTAAACTTCCCTTTTAAGTTTCACTTCTCCCGTCGACAATATCCGTGCAAAAGTTTTTTTTAAATGCCCTTTCTTAAAACATGGGCATACTGTCAATCGTCCACCTCAATCTCTTCGTCCTCCTCTGAGAATTCGTCCGTGGTTTGATCTCTGGATGAAGAGGGGGACTGTGGAAATGCTCGGTGTCCTTGTGACGACGGGGAGATGCTAGGGGAAATCGCCCCAGAGCTTCCTTGCGGGTCGTCAATGTCTTCTTCCATGGTGACTAGCTTTTGCAGGGTTTGTGGTGGTATTTTCTTGAGCGACTCCACATCCGCTTTCATCTCTTCCAAGTCTCTCTTGAGCTTGGCCCGTCTGTTCTGAAACCAGGTGATGACCTGAGCGTTGGTTAGCCCCAGTTGCTGAGCTATCTGGTCTCGGTCGGCCGGAGACAGGTATTTCTGGTACAAAAAGCGCTTCTCGAGTTCATATATCTGATGGTTGGTGAAAGCTGTCCGGGACTTTCTCCTCTTTTTTGAGGTCTGCCTCTGTCCAAAGGCGTTCACATGCTCACGACCTTTAGGGAAACGAAAATACAGTCACTATCCAAAACAATATCAGAACAACATGTCTACAAGTGTCCTCAAGTGTGCCATGATTAGCAGCTTTGTTATTGAGGTTTTGTTTTTTAATAGGGCTACAGATGCAAAGCAGATGCAAACTATTTTTGTTTATGGCCAATTGTGGTGATGGGTATGGTTTGGTAATAACTTGTGGGCAACATTCCATAGCCATATGAAATTAATCACATATTTATGTTTTACATTGCCCATGCATCATTAGGAATAACATAGCTGTCAATATCAGGATCTAAATAAATATAATTCTACTAAATCAAACAGCCTATAAAATGTTGCAACTTAATTTAATGATACACCAGGAAGCACAACAGAAAATGTCGGATTAGAGGCCTCCTTTGCCACCCCAATAAATTGCAGGTTTCCTTATACTGGTGTTTAGTATCTAACTAATCAACTCAAACGCTGAAATAATAGCCAAGGATAGATTACATCGCACAGACATGATTGTTTGGGGAATTTAGGCTTGGCAAGAGCTTGATACCGCGTATTGGAATGCTTTTTTAAAAAAAACACTCAGTTTGACAACAATTCACACAACCAATAGGCTATCAACCATAGCTATTTTGGGGATTATGCATACTTGGGTAATACAATCACTCACTGAATCTGTACATGTAAATATTAAAACGTTATGTCAATATTGAAATCCTTACCTTCAGCTGCTTGTATAACGCTGACTTCCAGACCTTTAAATGTTTTGCTGGCTAGTTCCTCCAGAGCACATAACGGCGAAGAGGGAGTGGTAATACCGTTCCTTGCTGCATTTGAGCCGGACACTTTTTCAATAACTCTCGGTGGACAGAGATTAGCAACTGACTTCTTCACCGAGGGTTTGTTTAGAATATCCTCAATACTGAACGGCGTCAGTGGCTTGTTGGAGTTGGCCGGGGGTGGAAGCTGGTCCAAGGGACCCTGTCTCCTCTCCTCGCCGCTGGACTGCAACACGGAGCCTGCCTTCATGTCTTTACTGGAGGTCATCGCAGTCCAAAGGAATTACTGCTGACAAAGGCTGACTATTTCATTCAAATGCTTGTTTAAAGGTCCACGAGTGTTTCCTTAAATTCGCGTCTTCTTCACAACCCACTTTTAATCACTTTCAGTCGAATCTTGCAACTTCACTTGTCTGAAATGTTTTCTCCAAAATAACCATGCTTCGGGCGTAGGCTGCAGTTTCACAGGCAACCGAATTGTATTCCCTTCCAGAGAGAGACTGTTCTTCTGCGAAGTTCCATGAAGATCTTTAGAAAGTGTAACGGGTAGTGGCTGGGGGCAATTCCTGCAAGGAATAAACTGTCTCAAGGAACAAGAAAAAGCAAGCAACTGCTAACGAGTTATTGTTGATTGGGCGAAGTTCAATTAGAGGAACTCTACACTACTCGCTGACCCACTGCTGCGTCTTAAAGGGCCAGACCATAATAATTAATTGGACGCGGGAATAGGAGGAGTTTCGCCTCAGTGTTGGAGATGTTTGAGGAGAGGGATGGCTTGAAATGTTTATGCGCCTGCCGCCCCCCTTCACACAGGCAACATGTTCCCGGTGTATTTCTCTGGAAAGGGAGTTGATGCTCATTAAACAATGCCACAACCATTCTTGTGTATAATGGTAAAGTTTTTATTATTATTATTATTATTATTATTATTATTATTATTATTATTATTATTATTATAGTACACAGTATGTCTAATTGAGCCATTAAAAAAGTTTCAGTATTGCCACCATTTGTAGCTTAATCATAAAAACATTATACGAGATTTGAAAGCACTTATGATTCGGAGACCAAAGGGTTAGGTGTATAATGTACGTGCGAGTAACCCCAAAAGCTTGATCAGGGTACATCAAACTCTGCTAACTGCACAATTAGCCTAATTTAGAAATTCCCCCTGCAGAAAATTAAGCAACATAGTATGTAGGCCTAACCCAAATACAGTAATATGCCATTTTGCGATGTGTCAAATGTGCATTATTATTAGGCTACTAATGTATTATTATTATTGTTATTATTATTATTATTATATGTTTTGAGTGCATTGTCTATTATGATAGGTATATATATTATTATTACAACAGTTTTCTAGAACTGTACAAAAGTAAGCCTACATTATCATTAACATTCCATGTTAGCATGCCCATTTAAGTTTCAAGCACAAAGCATAGACATGTGTTATCCTTCCTGTCGTGAGTTTATAGGCTTTACACGTTTTGGATCGTTTGGGAGAGGAACGGCTTCAAGAAAAACCTTGAAACCTTTATCCTTTTTCTGCCCATCAGTTATCGGTGATTTTAAAAAACTAAACAATTAGCTATACTATTATCTATTCTAGCCGTATAGGAAGCCAATGAGACAACCTGGGAATGATTAGGAGGGAAATAGTGCATTTTAGGACAGTGTTGAATTACACTATAATGCTCCATAAAATGTCATAGAATAGCATGCAGATAAATATGAAGCCGTGACAATACTTTATGTGATCTGTTGAGCTCGCAGGTAAAGAGACGGGACACAGAAGAGTTGTCACGCTCCCATTCTCTCCCCATCGTTATTGATGTGGATAAAAATTCTGATGATGCAAGGGTTATACCATGTAAGAGGGTAGATCATAGAATGAAAAAGGGGTAAGTTCGACAGCAACGAGGAGCAGGTAGGTTGTGTTTTGTTTATCCATTGAGCAGAATGACTTCAGAATTTTACACTAACAAGTATGGTAGGCCTAGAATATGCATGCATTAATAGTTCGTTAAATATTTTTCAAATAGGTTTAACGATAATCTTCGAATATTGCTTTATGCAGCCTATAGCCTATACTATTCATCTGAAGTATGACGATTTTGCATGCTAATGGTTTCAATAATAGCCTATTGAAATTACAAATAAGTAATGTGTTTTCGACAGGAATTGTATCTGCATGCATAGGCCTATAGCGAAATGTTATTTGAATTTTCGTTTATTAAAATATAATATATTGAGAAAATGTGTATTATATTTTTATTAAACCAGATCTATTTCATTGTTTATGGCGCACACATAGGCTATCCTAACATGTATAATTGTAGCCTATTAATTCCAAAAAGGGACACATTCTGCATGAAATAGGACAATATCCCCATATGAATATACAATGCTTTTCACAATTATTTTTTCTAATAAAAATAAATTCCACTGGCATGTTTACAAACTGTTGGAGGATTATTTCTAAAGTATTTTAGTCAGCACCTTAACACCGTGCTCTCTGCAGCGTGATAGACAGATTTATAAATCAGAGGTGGCAATTCTGAACTTCCCACATCCCTCACCGCGCGTGTCAACAAAATCAATTATTAACTATTTCAAACCCGAAGTATATTGATAATGTCCAATGTCGCTGTTATTTAATTGTTTTTTAAATAATCGATTGAAATGATAAATACATTTCTTACATGAACCATTAACAGTGAATCGAGCCTTTGCAGAAAAACACCGTATTGTTTGTGCCAAGAACACCATATGGTGACATTCGTGTAGTTACGAAACCAGGCCAAATAGCATTAGAGTTATAAAACAGCACGAGATTCTATTAGCTTAGATGGAGACCCGCGGTCTTGGGTGTTATTCAGCAATATTAATAGGGATGTTTTCCGATTGAACGAGGGATCATTTATTTGAAGGGCTCAATTGAATCCAACCAACATTATACAATTGCAGAGTGGTTTTAGCTACAAATACCATGAGGTAGACTTCCCCAGATAGATGAGTCGATCAGGCCTTCGTAAAATGTTCATTTTCCTCTTTCAAAAAAACATCATTAGTAGGCCTATCACACTAACAATGTGTTGCTTCATCTCATGATTTGGAGGATATAGCCGAGCTCAAATCCTTCTCAGTTAAGCCTACATAGACCTAGGCTTAGGCCATCCATCGAATTTCTTCAACAACAAAAAATATACAGCCTGATAACTATAAACCAATGTCTTGTTGCTGATCAACTATTTTAACATGTTCTATTTGGTTGCAGAGATGTCTCCCAAACAACGAGTTTGCTATGATATTGTAACTCGACGTGGACAATAATGTTTGCTAATATTTTACAATTACAGTATAACATTAAATATGCTTACATTTACAGGATAACTTGGAAATGGAAACGAACCAACCCAACCATGCTTATCGAGGTGTCAACTATTAGGCTATGTTGTCTCGATTAAAATATTTATTTTGTACCAACAGACTTGGTGCAACTCAGAGTGTGGGCCTATGCAGGAAAAAGTAATAATGTAACGTTGGTGTGTTCATATCATACGCTTCTTTCAGAAAGAGATACAGTTGCACTCTACGCCCAGCAAGAACACGGCAGAGGGCAAACGAGCCATGTAGTGATGGAATGAATGGGGTGTTATATTTCCCTCAAATGCAGCAAGCATTAATAGTTCTAAAGATAAGTCCACCGATATCTTTTTTCCAAACATGTGTCCAATGGTCTTTACGGTGTCAACCAGAGCAGTGCTAATTCGAAAGGTTTTCTTTTACTTAATTGTACCGTTAATTAGAAACAGAACACCTGACATCATCAATCATCAACTCTTAGGGGAGTTGCGTTTTATATTCGCCATAGCTCGATCTCGTCATTCTCCTTCACCGGAGCTGGTCCCCAATACGTCACATATTGCTGCTCATGGCCACTCATTTTCCCTTGTAGGGCCTACAGTGAAGATTTGTTGGGGCTGGCTATTGGAAAGCCGTACTCAAACTATCAAAATATCATCGCCAGCTGAACTTTGGAATAACTGCAGACATAAACAGTTGGTTTTGAATGTTGATTTTCTGATTCTTTAGGCTGCACTGCAGGGTTTTTTGGTGATGATTTACAGATGCTCGAGAAATGATAAAGTACCCTGACCTGGTACGTTAAATAAACTTAAACTGGAGAAACATAGGCCTTGTTCCATCAAATCGTAAGATAAGTAGAAATGATGCAGGTGCATTGATTTGGTCATTTAAATGTTCTCTCTGTTGGTCTCTGTCCATGCTTTCAAACAAATTCTTTGAGACTTATATCTCATCACCAATATCATTTGGCTTTACAAAATAGTGAAACTTGCGTCACCCAATGCAATACAACTGTTGAGTGACACATTTTGATATCATTCAGGTAGCTAGGCGTGTTTGGTTTATTCGTCACTGTCTTTCCATGTTCTTTACTGACTCCTGTTGCAAAACAAAACAGCTGTACTATCAACTTAAATATAACATGATACAGGAACGCACATTAAAGTGGAAGCTATATAGAAGGTTACACGTGAGGGTGATAAATGCTTATAGGGAAATAGAGAGGGCTTGCTGAGTTAGCATCAGAAAACAATAAAGCAACAATAAAGACGAAATAATCGTCAGGATATTGTGGGATTTCATCTCCCCATTCAATCATGATTTTATAGGCATAACAATTCATTACCAATATTGTAAATTGTCAAATGTAAACTGTAAATATATTAAAATGATGATGATGATGATGATGATGATGATGATGATGATGATTATTATTATTATTATTATCAACATGAAAAATAATGGTAGGCCTACTACTAATAGTACAGTCATTCACAACATTCTGTCACTACTGGAATCACGATTACGACAATCCTTGACAAACTTGAGAAGAACGCAAATTGCATAATTGCAGCCGATTTCCCTCAAAACGGTAGTATAAATTAATCTTATTTTGCAATGTAATCTAACATCGTTATTGACTTCCCCTCTTTTCTCTCCACTGCCAGAAAGACGTTACACGAGCTTTAGTGAACGAAGCGATCATTTCAAGCAACACTGCCTTTTCAAGAAAACAATACAGTCAATCGTCTGGGTAAATGTAGCCTAAGCTTTGAGTTGCTCGTGCGTTCTAACAATAATCAAGGGTAGCCTAGTACACCACACATCATAATCGTACTTCCTCACCTCTGAATAGGAGAGAAAGTGAGTGAGCACATAAATGATCCCCTGTGGTGTGTGTGTGAAAATGGGGGTGAGAAAGTGGAGGCTTGTGTGTGCGCGCGTACATGACAGGCTACGTGCATGCGCAATCTTGGAGACAAGACATTCTTCGTCCATTCTCTCTGTAGGCGTGTGTGAGTGGCTTTGACGCATGTATGGATGGAGTGAAGAACATTAACGCCGGATTCAAGCCCCTCTCTCAAGCATCACTAACACAACAGCAATCGTAGCCTAGCCTACACGTCGGCCTTAAGGTGCTAAGGCCTTTTACATGCCGCATTGCATTAGACAGTGTAATATTCCACCGTGTTCAGTACCTGTTGTTTTTTCTCCCGTCCGCCACTGGGTTGACAAATGTTTTGATTCCCAACAGGGTACCGCGGAGCCCCAAACGCGCAGGACA